CTGAGTGTCCCGCGATGATGATCCTCAAAAAAAAACAACTCCTGACCTAAAAAACCCTTCTGGAAATCTCAAAAGAAGCCCAAAATGACCCCAAAAAATACACACCCCTACCTGCAAAACCATTCAGGAATCTCAAAGGAATCCTGTGACAATGACCCCCCCAAAAAAAAAACCTTCAAAACCGTTCTGGGAATCTTGAACAAATCCCATGACCCCAACCCCCCAAAAAAAACCCAACCCATCCTCCAAAACCATCCAGGAATCTCAAAGGCATCCCAAAACGACGACCCCAAAAAACTCCTGCCCACCTCCAAAACCTTTCAGGAATCTCGATGGAATCCCAAGATGATTGATGACAATCCCAAAAAAAATTCCCCCATTCTCCAAAACCCTTCAGGAACCTCATCTCGAAGAAATCCCGCAATGACCCCAAAAATCCCCTCCTCCTCCAAAACCCTTTTAGGAATCTCAAAGGAATCCCATGACGATGACTCAAAAAAACCCCTCCACCTCCAAAACCCTCCAGGAATCTCATCTCGAAGAAATCCCACGACAACAACCCARAAAACCCCTCCACTCCAAACCCTGGGTCAATCTGGAAGGCATCCCATGACAATGACCCCAAAAAAACAAACCCCTCCATCCTCCAAAACCCGTCAGGAATTTCAAAGGCATCCCACGATGAYGACCCCAAGAAAAACCACCCCATCCTCCAAAACACTTTTGGGAATCTCAAAGGAATCCCACAATGATGATGACAACTCAAAAAAACCCACCCATCTTCCAAAACCCTTCTGGGAATCTCAAAGGCGTCCCGCAACAACGACCCCAAAGAAAACCCCGCCATCCTCCAAAAAGCTTCAGGAATCTTGAAGGAATCTCACGATGACCCCAAAAAAAAATCACCCCATCCTCAAAAATCCTTCCAGGGATCTCAAAGGCATCCCATGACAACGACCCCAAAAAAACCCTCCCTCGCCTCCACAACCCTTTTAGGAATCTCAAAGGAATCTCATGATGACGACCCCAAAAAAAAACCCTCCACCTCCAAACCCCTGGGTGAATCCCAAAGGATTTCCCCCATCACATGATGTCCACAAAGAACTCGCACGGATTCCCCATGGCCTTCTGGAAGGACTGCTGGCTCCCGGTGATCTCGGGGAGCACGGCGCCCAAAAAAACCCCTCCACCTCCAAAACCATTGGGGAATCTCAAAGGTGATGACGACCCCAAAAAACCCCTCCACCTCCAAAAACCTTTTAGGAATCTCAAAGGAATCTCATGACGATGACTCCAAAGAAACCCCCGCCATCCTCCAAAACAATTCAGGAATTTCAAAGGTGATGATGACCCCAAAAAAACCCCTCCACTTCAAAACCCTTCAGGAATCTTGAACGAATCCCATGATGATGACCCCAAAAAACCCCTCCACCTCCAAAACCCTTGGGGAATCTCAAAGGATCATGATGACAACCCCAAAAAAACCCTACCATCCTACCATTCCTACCATACCAATTCAGGAATTTCAAAGGTGATGACGACCCCAAAAAACCCCTCCAACTCCAAAAACCTTTTAGGAATCTCAAAGGAATCCCATGACGATGACTCCAAAAAACTCCTCCACCTCCAAAACCCTTCAGGAATCTCATCTTGAAGAAATCCCACGACAACGACCCCAAAAAAACCCCTCCACCTCCAACTCCTGGGTGAATCCCAAAGGATTTCCCCCATCACATGATGTCCACGAAGAACTCGCACGGATTCCCCATGGCCTTCTGGAAGGACTGCTGGCTCCCGGTGATCTCGGGGGGCACGGTGCCCAAAAAAACCCCTCCATCTCCAAAACCCTTCAGGAATCTCATCTTGAAGAAATCCCACGACAACGACCCCAAAAAAACCCCTCCACCTCCAAAACCCTTGGGGAATCTCAACGGAATCTCATGATGACGACCCCAAAAAAACCCTACCATCCTCCAAACCCCTTGGGGAATCTCAGAGGTGATGACGACCCCAAAAAAACCCCTCCACCTCCAAAAACCTTTTAGGAATCTCAAAAGAATCCCATGATGACGACCCCAGAAAAAACTCTACCATCCTCCAAAACCCGTCAGGAATTTCAAAGGTGATGACGACCCCAAAAA